AAATCATGCCAAACGCTACAATTTTCTAATAAGTATTTTTGATAGCATTTTTCACAAGAAGACGTAAATGGTCCAGAGAGACAGAGACCGACGAATTAATCGGTTTGAAAATTGGTCGACGAAAATCACTGTGTGGATGTTTGGAAATATCCGTGCGCGTTTGGGGCTAAGAAGAGTTCTATATTTATGACGTTTTTGATAATCTTCCACTGCCAAACTAAACTACCGTTCAAAGCGCTCTGTTCAATGGTCCAGGGATTCTTTTTTGCCGAATAACAGCAAAGCTGGTTTCAACTTTCAGAACAACCATGCGCACGATATTTCAGCCCCGTTGCACAGAAAATTACGACGATTTATATTAACAATCTTTTACAGATTCACAGCCACAATGCCAGAGGAACAAGCGGATGCAGTGAACGCAGGACAAACAACAACTTTTTAAAGTTTGTCGAGCAAACTACACAGAAGAAACTTTCAGGTAATACCAAATTAAATAAAGACGCTTCCATCAAATTACTCAACCAGGACATTGTGCATCTAGGTGCCTGCTAGCCCGGAAGCCGGAGGAGAATGACGGAAGGGCTGTTATGTTCTGGAATTTTCTTGCTCACAGATGACCTTTGTCAACACAGACATTGTTAGCACGAAAGCAATAACAGCTTATTTTGTGCCGTTTCTGGTGTGTAGTTATTTGAGACAACTGAATGGACCATATTCGGGTTTTTGACAATCGGCTCCAGTGATTCGGGTCGTTCAAAATCAGAGGCGGTAGTCGGTGACAAACGGAACACAAAACAATCCAAGCTGGTAATCAAACTCCTGCGATTGCAGGGAAACTACTCACAATACTTTAAGAAGATGAGCAATGCAGCATTCAGCATTCAGTTCGTGGAGATGTCGACAGTAATAAATTTTTTTTGCTCATCTACATATATGTGGCAAGTAAGATGGTTCGGCTGATGTAAACGGCTAATGTTATACAAGAGCATTTTAACTGCAAATCGCCGGTCGCACTTCCACGGCACCAGTAGTTAATAGATTCGAATTTAACACCTGATTATAAGGGGTCAATGGCTTCCAGAATCCTATCATGGTGGATGATTCTAGGGAACAAATTTTCTTACGGTTTGCGGCTTGATCGGAACTCCCGGAGGATTGTGTACTTGATTTTATCATCTAAGAAGCACTGTGTTTGTCTTAGCAGAAACCCATGGTTGTCCTAAATGTTGTATTGAAGGCTGCATGTGTACATCAAGGCGCTTCAGGGACTAGCTAGTTTTTCATCCGTTCTGTTGTATTTTTGGTGGTGCAGATCATTACCAAACAAAAACCAGCTTGCTTGGAGCTTATATGGCACGCACTACACATAGCTTCACAAAGTCTTCGCGCGGCATTGAACGCATATCTGGTCACCTAACAACTTTAATGTGTATCTTGGATCTGAAAAAACGTACTCGCCATTTTCAAGCGGCCTGGGTGCGAGTTCTAGGTGCCAAATCGATAATTGGCCAGACTTGGCTTGAAATCATCCACCACAGCAGCTAACAAATAATGAAAGTGATAACTGAAAACAATGGTCTGAGACTTTTCTATAAGTAAAATTTTAGGGAAGTTTCGGGGAAGTTTCTTCATCCTATTCCGGTCGAAGATTTTTGTTTCGCCAAAGTTATACGAAATACTTTATTTACATTTATAATGCAAATATTTTAACTGCCAAGCCAACAGTACCGTGATTCCCAGTGAGAACCGGCTTGTCCATTCTATATGGTCCCCGGAACTTGATCACATGCGTACACGCACCGATCTAGTGAAACGATTCCGAATGTCTTCCTGGAAGTCTATGGTTTTCAGACTTTGCAAAGAATTTTAGGCAAAGTTTCCTTCGCAGTTGTGATTTTAATCATTTTTAGAATCAAAAAGCTCGGAAAAGCAAATTAATTTCCTGTTTGCGTTTGCAGAGTGGCCTGATATGCGCAATGAGGACAAAGTTAGATGTAAAGCAGATTCATGGGTTTCCATTCTGGTGTACAGACAACCCATTATTCTCCCACACTAACATTTTCTATTAAGGTACCTCATTGTTTTAAAGGGAAAGTAGCCGCCCTGATAACCGATTGCACTTCGAAATTCTCGCGTACATGCGTCAGAGACTAGCCGGTATCCAGTATTCCTATGAATTTTTCACAGGCTCGGTATTGTCTGAAAAGACAAAACATTCATGGTTTGGACAATGTATTGTTTTTTGCAAGATCAGCAACGAAGACATACCAAAAACAGGTACGTTAGCGATGTAGAAGTCGATGTCGTCGGTCTACATTTAACCCGCTCAATCATGATGTGAAAGGTTTTCTCACCAATACGTTGGCCTGCACGACACAAATGCTCGTGAAAACCGGTAAAAATTGGAGTCCAAGAAACGAAGTTTGACGTTTAATGGGGTGTTAGTCTTTCGAGAAGCCCAAAAGCAGCTTAACCCCACTTCGCTCATCCGTTGTCCTACTTTTTGCCTAAGACCACACCCAGTGATGTTGTATGTTTGCGCAAGATTTCACTAACCTCCTCATGAAAAAGGCTATTACAACTATCTCATGATCACATGGAAAGTGAACTTCTCCCTGAAACCCGTCACACGGTCGGGCGCTTATCAGATGCATCTAAAAGATTACGGTGTGCAAACATCTATTCATGCCAAATGCCTTGTCTAAATGTCTACACCTCCCGTTCTTCAACATAATGAACGGAAGTTCTGGACTGAGGCGCAGCACTTTCACCTCTGTGTGTAGTGAAAGCCTCGTGGGGTGAGGTCAGACATAGTTTGATCCCAATGATGTACTCTTGACTAGAGGACAGGCGTATGTATTGTGAACTGCGGATTTGAGGAGATAACATATTTTTGAAGCGAAAGCGCCTTTTGTTGAAGGTATTAGCTGAAAAAGCATGTAGCAAACAAAACACATCACGTAGACATTCTGGGAAGAGTAGTTATTTTTGAACCCATCTCTCCAAACACACTTGTCATGGTTTTGCCAAGATATGTTTGGTAGGGCTCGGCTAGCTTTGCACCTCTTGGTGTCTAGCAGGCAGGTTCAGTCCCCACGCCGTCACCAAATTTAGTTTACTGAACCCAAACTGCGTAAAATTCGTTAAGTGCTCTGGTGTTCACACAAAGATGATAATCGCGGAGGACTCAACTAACTCTAGCCAGATCGTTCTTTGACGCTAGATTATACTAGATACAATGGAGTTTGCCATAAAAATTAGGTTAACGTGCAAAAATGGAAAGCCCACCGCAGGACTGCGGATTAATTCCAGCAATTTTTGATGTGTAATGTTTGGCGTCTAGACAACCTTTATTGGCATCACAAACATCGCAGTAGCTGAAACATGAAGTGGACATGCGTGACGCACGCAGGGGAAAAATCAAGCCATGAAGAAGTATTCAGCTGTATCCAGTTGCAACTTTGCAAAAACGAAATCTCGTGCTAATGAAAGTATCCGGTGAATCGCCTGGGTAAATTCCAAAATTTGTGTTGGGATAAGCAAAATAACCAAGTGAACTTTAAAGAATCTATTGAGATACTCGTTAATTTGCGCTTAAATTGTTCTTATTTTTGTCCGGTCAGATACTTTGGACACGCTCTCTCCGGGGCAGTCGCGCTGTGGATGAGTCATATAGCCAACTCTGCCCATATCCACGAGAAGTCATTCGTCAGTCCTCCATGAATACCTCAATGTTTGCAACAAAACCTGATCACAGGCACTATGTTAATAGTTCTCATTAACTAGCGTCATTCCAGGCTTTTCTGCCGGGTTTCTCTTGTTAAGCGGTGTCACCAAACGAGACACTGGTACGGTGATTTTTCGGTTTTTTACAGCAACAACGATTAGTTTGAAAGCGTCTATCTCTATGCAAATTCCTACTCAATGTAACTCATCCTGAAGATCCCTGCTTTACGAAAAATTTGAGCACATCTAGCCATATTCAAGCTTGCTTTCGTTACCTTCCTCACTTGTGCTAATGAAGAGTCAACCAACATAATCCTTACGTAGTCGTGCAAAAAAGTGACAAGGATCTCCGTGTGATGCTTCGTAGAGGACATATGCGAATAACCCTGTCACATGGAAAGTTCCAACTTCGCTTAGGAAAGTACCAAGGAGGCCGGTGATTTGCAATTTAATGCGGACAAATATAACAGCTCGCTTCGCCGCTTTATCGGCGGAGGTAATGGTCTAAGAGAACAGGGTCGCCTACGTCTCCAAACTGTAAACGTCAAAAAACGCAGGTCATCCAAAGAGTATGGTGGTCATTTACTGATACGCCGTTATCACCATTAGATATACGCAGATGTATTTTCAGGGTATACAATGCTGTATGTAATGTAGATGGTTTACAGTCACGAGCCTAATTGCATTTATTGTTTCCTGTGCTGCCGTACAATTCGGCGTGAGAACTTGGTGGCTACCAGTATCAGATATGAAGGTTCGTTGCCAGTCGCCATAGTTCTTTGTTTCGGAACTGCATTTAGACCCATGTAAATGGTTAGATACTCCGCGGTTGCTAAAGTGAAAATGCATGGCGAATGCTATGCGCACTACTCCCATGTCCTTTGTACCGTCTGTAGTTTTAGAGGTTTCGGAACTCTTCGAAACTAGGCTGAAAATAATGGTCCATAACCACACGAACATCCACAAGGAGAGTTTTGGCCCGTGATAGAGGATGCGGGCCGGCATTTTGTTACTGAATGGTCAAACATCGGTGTCAGAGAAATCTCCAAGGTGCTTCTATACAGCAGCAAACAAGAATGTGTACGCCCTTATAATAGAGCCAGAATGCCTTGTAAACTTCTGAGAGTAATTCCTAGCGAATAATTTGAATGTATTTGAACTAATTTTCTTATTCGTGTTTGTTTTACAGCTTTGATGGTGCAAGGACATCAACCCCTCAGTATTCAAAAACGCAATATGTTATTGCTACCCCAAATGATGTGTGGGAGATCACGATGAGTTGGTTACGCTGTACAGCTTTTTGCACGTTGTTCATTATTTATGGAGGTAAGTCGAATAATTTTCTATGTACATATTCACCAGTCAATCCACAAAATTTATTGGACTATTCAGTTTATCCCATCGGCTCTGGATTCCTTCTGACAAGGCCAAACTCTGAGGCGGATGAGAAGAAGATATTCCTTGCAACTGCGAGCAATACCGACGGCTATGAGGTGACTGCACGAATCGGACCACTAGCTAGACAGGCATATTTTTCTGGAAATAGGGATCTGTCAGAGGATCCTATACAAGTCTTAGTTCATGTTGTCAACCAAGAAGTTGAAGAGGACACAAAAACAATGAATTTTTTGTGTCACGCCAGTTCGCTCCAAAAAAGTTCGAGAGTAACCATACCCATCAGGATATGTTGCGTTATTTCTGTGAACACAACTTTTTCACATGAATTCACCTCCTGTATACTGGAATTAACACATGTTCAAGGATCTGTGGTTTGCCATGCTTCTATAAAGCTGCCTGCTGTGCTTTGGAAGCAGAAGACAGCGCCGTCAGTCACCGTGTCATATACTACCGTGAGAATAAACCATGCTGACAACCACAATCACAATCATTCCCAATGTTCTGCGCAGGTATCATTTACGGGTGGGTTCATAACGCTTCCAGCGGCGAACGTGGTGCGTTCTGTTCCGGATGCAATAAGAGAAATCGGAAGAAGTTTGTTGCTTCAGGTGCCAAGAAGAGAACTACGGATTAGCGAAGAATTCGCTGTATCAGTTAGGCTAAAGAGAGGTGACGACGTGTCAGATTTTACGCTGAGGTGAGTTGGAAATCAGCACACAGCTGAGAAGTCATTCTGAAGCATGTTTTCCGGCTGAGCATCAGATGTTAAATAAATCAAACATTGTTTTCAGAGAACGAAAGCAAAATAATTTTGACATATCCCGGTGACTAGATGTGCTGGAATCTTGGTTAGGGGAGGGGGTAGGCCTTATTAAAAGGCAGTCTATTAATTAGGTTAATTTTGTCACTGATGGTGCAATAGTGTTGAGAAAACAACGCAAATACAGCTATTGATTTTTGACAGAAAACTAGTGAATCTCTTCTGAGTTCATTTAACTCCTATTGGGGTGACTCTGGTGGGAAAGATTTTCTGTGATTAACGTCGATTTCCTAGTAGCGGTTTCCTATGGTAGTTCATTCTATGACGTCGTATACCAACGTTTGGTGATAACTAATGCATAACTTCAGTGTGAAAAAGAGCTTAGAAACAAAAATCCAGACCAAAGATTGAAAAACCTTTGCGGATTTTGCCTGTGTTCATTACTTTTACGGAGAAGGGCATGCTCTAATACGGGAGCAATCTTGACGTTTCGATTCATGATCATTTCAAAAGAGTAAGTCATAGCTTAACCGTGGGTTTTTTTGCATCAACCTTTGCATCTAACCTACTGATGGTTCTGTGATTAGAGCTAAGTCAAAAAAGCAGCTTATTTTGCTTGCTCCACCTCCGTGTGGTTTTAACCAGTTCGTTTGTGCCCTCAGGCCATAAGATCAATTAGTTAGGAGTTGTTTTCTGCCGCAATCTCCTCAAACAAAACAAGAATTCTGTAACCACTATCGTCGCTTCCACAAAACGTTGCAAAGCTTTGTTCAGTAACTGGACGAAATCAATTGCTAAAAGTATCAGTAGCTCAAGCAAAGTGGCTTTTTGTGCTTATCACTGCGTTGCCATCTCCAGGCCAGCAGCATAATTGAAAGACTGTCTTGCTTAAGGTTTTCAAAAATTTCATTCACGCTATTTGTCAGGCTGAAACCATTTTTGTCCTGGAGATAGCAAGTTGCGTGTCGTTGTGCGCATGTTTGTCTTTGTTTGCTGTCAGAAAAGTGATATTTTTATGGCTAGACATCGCCGTTTTCGAATTAGCTTGTTACTCGAGTTTTTTTGTAATGGGGCTTTTTAAAATACAAAGCGGCAAACTACTGTAACTAAAATAAGTTTTTTCTTTGTAAGCAACGTTTCGCTCAACAATACCGAGTTGCGCTGGCCGAGAGACTCCCAAAACTCAACAGATCGATTTTTTTGAAACATAACGATTGGAAAAAGAGGAGAAAAAGCCATTAATGAGCTGTTGCTACCAGTTCCCGGGGACTTTTGGCATGCCTTAATGAATGCTGAATCTCGCCGCATTTAACAGGTTCGATTAAAGCCAAAGAAGCAATATTGGCAATGCTAGACGTTGAGGGCGCGCAGATGCCTCAACAACAAATTAATATGGAACTTTGATATCACTAGAGAAGACGGGCGGATAAAACAGCCCGAGAGTTATAAAAGGCTTTTGTAACTGGAAATAATCAAACCAGGTTCCAGCTAGTCTGATAAACTGACCCGAGGATGACGGATATTAGTGAAGTGATCATCTTGAAATACAGGGCTTTAGTCCATTCATAGGAGCTATCTCTTCAGCGGTTGGCTGAACACTTCGAAGAGCAGTTTAGCCTAACTCCACTAACGAAACACCTGGGATGTCAAAACAAACCCGAGTAGAATTTAAATGCCGATCCGTCATTGAAACCGCTTGTACGGTGCGCTTCAACGCAACAAAAAATCAGGTCTGAGTGGTTTGAATCCTGTACTCTTTAAAAACGGTGGGAGTTCCGTGTGGCTAATCTGACAACTTAACTCCAAAGTATTTCGGATGAGGAAAAAACTGCCATATTGGGCCTTCTGGACAGTGATTCATACTTTCAGAAAAAGCGCAAAGAAATGGTCCAAAGATCACCTGGGCGTCATCCGAGTAGCCATATCTTCTGGAGCGCTGTCCGTTAATATCATTCAAGGATTGATTCACCATCAGAAAAGTCATTTTCAAAAAGCTGCCAAGAGTAAAGCTACAGTGTTCATATCTTTGATTTACTATAGGCGCTGGAATTCTTTCCAAGAATAATCGTATTCCTCCTTCTTGCACTCAGATATGCCTTTTTCCGTCAACTTTTAGTGACTGTGGCTGTTTACGGCTGCAAAGCGTGTTTTTTTAAACTCATGTTTCTTATGAAGGCTTCATAGGCTGTCTGCTGTAGACGCATACAGGTTGGCGGCGAAATTTCTCCCGAGTTTGACGCATAAGTAGTATCTTGTAAGAAATTCCTCTCTCGCCGTTTTTTGACTTCCTAGTTGATATGCTTCTTGGGTCTTATTTAGCCACCTCTGTTCCCTCAGTTTCAGGAGTAGTCCTGGATTATAACTCACGAATACTGAACACGCTGAAGCCACTTCTCTCCTTGGGTCAGATGTTTCGAAAATGCAAACTATCTCACGGAACCCAAAAAGTGCTACTGCCTAGTTCATTATGCGTTCCGAACCCGTGAAGTATAAACTGCTACTGCAAGACTGGGTGAGGTGAAACCAAAACACAATGCTTGAAGGTGAACCGGTCGTCTACCTAGACAGCGGAATAGTGAAAAACAAGTTTACTTTCCGAACCGGGAAGTCTATGTCAGTGTTTGCTAACCCCCGCAGTTTGAGGTGCTCACATGACATCATACTGATCGTTAAGTGTAAAACGTAGAATACCGCGGTTGGACCCCTTTTGTCCTAAGGATAGGCGACGTGGCTGCTGCTTACGATATATTTTGGAGACACATTTTGACCATAAAGTGCATTGCAGGAGTTTGGTGAGAACATCTGTTTGCTAATTGGGATAGTTTTATCTCTCTCGATGGATCAGCTAGTCCCAATTCACCGCTTGCGCCGGTTAGCCTACGTATTTCTCATAACAGAGGACATTTTGTCTCGTACATTCCTTTCTTCTGAGTGCTTTGACGAGGGCAGACAGACCAGGAACAGTAAGTCCATGACTTGGTAACAAAATATGAAAGCCCTTACCAGTCAGATCAGTCTCACTGGTAACTGCCATCTACCCAAACCAAACTGCGTGATGAGAGAAACCAGTGGTCAGCAATCCTGACTGACAGGGCTGTCAGGCAGCCGCTGGTGGTCTTGCATCAATGCTATCGACTCCATTGCACAGCTTTCACTTTCCGCCATACCGGACAAACAGTTCCGTTTTTTCAGTTTACAGACTAGGCCATGGACTTCAACGCGTGACTCTTATTTTTTTATTTTCCTTATCTTTGGTGAACGAAGCTGTATAAACTGGAACGGCTTCTAGCTGAAAACTGAACTGAACTGCTAGGGATGGGCATACCGTGGCTTTAACTCTTATTTTTTATTTTCCTTATCTTTGGTGAACGAAGCTGTATAAACTGGAACGGCTTCTAGCTGAAAACTGAACTGAACTGCTAGGGATGGGCATACCGTGGCTTTACTCTCGCTAAACACTATTGGTCTTGTAATCGTCCTTACTAGCAAAGTAATTCTTATGTTTAGAACGCCGGTAAAAAGCCAACTTTGTCTTCCTTTACTAGAAAATTTATGAAAAATGATCACGGTAGTACATTACTCCCTCCAAAAGAAACAACCCTTCTAGAACTGACCGTTGCTGAAATATCAACATGGTGGTGAATAAAGTCCCTATAGGAGACATGTGTTGACCCTTGTTTAGATAATCGCACACCATGTTGATCTAGATGAGTGGGGTATTCTTTGTGGGCGCGCCAATTTTTCCGTATTGAATTTGTGGAGCAATTTGTAACAACACCTTATGGACACGTGGCTTCACTCACTGCACTTTTGCGCGCTTATTATGAGGGCAAGAGGAACGGAATTTCGGGGTGGCTGCCGGACTTTGTCAGAGACAAACATGTGTGGCATGGTTGATTTCGCAACGCCATAGTGGCTATTCTTCTTGCCTGGTGTACAAGTAACTGTGTTCTTGCGGTCCAATTAACCAAAAGTTTGGTAGACCTTGTTTATTTTGCCTTTATTTCTCACTTAACAGGTACAACGCTGGTGAGTAAGTTTCAGCTACCTACACAGTAGCCTCATGGTACTTGTTGGTTTGTATGTCTGATTGATATAGGCTTGCCCTTCACAGAACGGTGAAGCGTTATGAACAGACATGCCTAGATATAACATCAAAAAACTCGTCTAGCGGAGTTGTCGCACTAAAAAGAGAGTATCTCTTAATTTTGACTCATCTGGCTGTGTGACCAACTTTCTTGATTGTAACTCAAATAAGCCCTCGTCAAGAGCTTAAACAAGGAGCATGTTCAAATATACACCACGATTCAAATGTGCGCTTACGCAACAGAAGTTATGCCCAGAATAATGTTACGCATGATAATTCATTAAGAAAATATCTACTAACAGTTACCGTTTCATCATAATTGTGGGTTGCGCATAGTTTTTTATTTTTGGTCCTCGTCTGAGTCGGATTAGCAAGGACCATATTTACTCTTTCGACCCAGGGAACCAACCTGGAGGGTAAGCCCTGAAGACAACCAAGCAAACAAACCGTGTTTGTGCGGCATTATGTATTAATTTCACGCATTTAAATGTGTTGAAGATTGAGCATACACCTGACTGTCCGTCACCGAAAACACCCAAATAAACTAGAATTTATACTGAATAGGTGCAAAAGACGTAAAAGTTGTTTCAGATTTATCATCCTTCTCAGAACTAACGCTCTCATTTGAGATCATTTAGTGTACGTGTGCAGGTATTGCGTATTTATATGAGAGAAAAGCTGAATAGTGGTAAGATAACAACGACGTGTGGTGTAAACTTCGGGAGCCAAAATGGGCTTAACCTACGTGTGTGACCCTTTGTGTGCTATTAAGCTATACTGGGTAGAGTGCGTGAAGTACCCATAGAGTCTCTCATACCAAGTTGGTCACTGACGAACAAAGTCTCTCGGT